GAAAGAGATGGGGCTATCTGCTTTCAGAATGGAAAATATTGGCACCCGACAAAATGGGCCAGACTAGAATTACGTAGTTAACAAGCCTGAATCTCGGTTGCCTCAAAAGGATGATATTCTAAGCATGCACTCTTGCTGTTAATTTAGTCTGTTGCAGAAAAGAGGTCTGTGGTGACAAAATAAGAGGTAACAAAAATCTATTCTAGGGGTGGCCTGGGTGACATTTTCCCCGTGAGGAGAGGATTGGGAATCAGCTTAATTAGGTCTTCAGGGTGTTTCAGTCATTCCTAAAACTAGGAAAGGTGGAAGTCAGAGTTCTGCAGAGATAGAGTGGCAAAAGGTCTGTGTGTGAGACAGCTAGGCCAACTTCAAATAGCCTCCAGGGGCGGCAACTTAGAACCATGGTTGGTGGTCTGAGAGGAGGAGTACAGCTTCAGTACAAGAACAGTTGGTGAGAACAGACCCACTTTGGGGGAAAGCTGGCCATAGAAGCAGACAGAGGAATTCTTTCGGGGAGCAGGGTTTCTGAGAGCCAAGCAGGAAACACACACACACACCACCACCTTCACCTCTGTTAAAGGGATAGGTGTATGGGTAGTGGGGATAGAAAACGACACAGAGGTAAAACACAAGGTTCTGCAAGGCTGACCCCCATGGGAGGGGTCTAGATTTTATCCAGAGACCTGAGTACTCTGGGCATGCACATGCCCATGACCCAGGCTGGCTGAGGCTGGGGTGGATCACGGCATCAAGACTCTTTGGGAGTAGTTCTTTCTCTCAGAAAAATAAACTGAAAAAGAGAGAGAGAGAGAGATAAGGGGCATTATAAGGATAAGTGATTCTAATTCATGAGATAATTGAAAGGGATAAAGATAAAGCCAAGATTTATATTAGATTACTAAAGGACCATTGAATTCACTAGACATCCGAAAGCCTTGAGTTTTTGTGCCACTGGGCTAAGGGGAGTTCTACCTTTTATACTCCAAATTCCAAATATGTATTTTTAATTTATTTTTAGGGGTTCAGAGGCTCAGATTTCTGTCCCAGGTTTTTTTGTTTGTTTGTTTTTTGTTTTTTGTTTTTTTAATAACTACAGACACACCCTTTTCATCCTTGCAACATTCTTCTGAAGTCATCAGGGAGGTGGGATTTTCAGAACACTCAGGCTGATAAAAAAACGGTCTTGGGATGGAGGCATGCTGAGGGGCACTGCATGATGGAATAGGTGCAGGTCATCAGACAGCATCAATCAAGAAACAGGCAGCCCCTCTTTTAAGCACTTTATAGATTGGAGACCTGCACTTAGGATATGCAGCGAGCTTTCTGCCTGCTGATGTAATTGCCTTTGTACAGAAAAAGACTAATGGTTTCTCAGGATGAGGACACTGTAGGAAGATGTGAGATGCCCGTTTGTGGCTAATTGAAAATTAATAAGGTTTTAGTGCCATTTGCCAAGTGTCAAATCACGAATGGGTGATTTCTAAGTGTAACTACATCAGTGCTTAGATTTCACTTCAATTCTCCAGGGGGAAATGTGTGATTATGGACAGCCGTTGCTTTCACGACTTAGAGAAATCCCAGAGGGCTCCAAAATATGAGGACTAAGAATATTCTGTGTTTCCTTCTCTGTTTAACACTACAATTGGCCCTTGATATTCCTATATTTGGCTAGTTAACAAGTGTCAACTGTTATGAAACAGTCTTCATCAACACATAAGTAGAGCTTGTAATTAGTTTATTTTTTTCTTACCTTAGTGGATTTAACATTTTTTTAAAAATCATGAAGGGCCAGCTGTATATATTTTTCTTTGTGAAATGTCTGTTCATGTATCATCTCCATTTTTGTATCAGGTTTTGAGCCTTTTCCTGACCATTTTTGAGTCTTTATATAGCAGTGATTTAGCCCTTTACCAGCTAACTATGGTGCAAGTATAATTAGTCTGATAAATCGGCTTCCTAATGAATCTACGATATGAGTGATTCACTGTCATGTTGAAACTGTTCTGCTTTCCCATGTTCCCAACTCTGCACTCCAACAAATATAAAAATGTACTCCTGTTCACAGATTCATTTGGAGATTGAATGACTGATCGAAATGGCTCAAGCCTCCCTGAATCTACACTTTTTGCCACCTGAATTTGCAGGTTTTTTCAACTAAAGAACATAAACTTCCCCATTTCATGGCACTGGGCACATCATGTCCTTTGGCTAATGGAATGGGGGCAAAATGACAGTCCACTAGTTCTATGCATAATTCTTTTTAAAGATTTTTTGCCTTAGGGTACATGTACTTGCCAGAGAGACACAGAGACAGTGAGAAGAAAAGTGAGAAATCTCCCCCATACACCAGGGGAAATGACCACACAGTCATACCTTCTCCATTCTCCTTTGGGATTTGGGGCACACACATGCAAGTACCCAGTGTGATTTTTAAGCTGCCAGGTCCAGAATTCGAACTATGGTTGGCCATGTGGGAGTCCAGCATCTCAACCATCATATGACCTGTTGGCTTCCTGTGCATAAATTTTGAGGCTACATGTATTTCCCTTTGCTCCATTATCCGAAGGACATGAACTTCTGACCTGCTAGCCCCAGAAGGATGAAAGAAGATACATGGAACAGAGCTGGACCAACCTATAGCTCCCAGCAGAGCTTAGCCAACCCCACCCGCATGCCCACCCCCAGATGGTCCACAGCTCCCGAGCAAGAGTAAGATAGTTGGTTTAAGCTGTTGAATTTAGGGGTGGTTTGTTAAACAGCTGATCGTTTATTGAGCCCCTATGATATTCCAAACATAGTTTAGGAGCGGGGCATAGAGAGAGAAGCAAAACATAAGTCCTTTCCCTCCAGGAAGGCTCAGATTCACCTGAAGGTTCTGTCACTTCCCAGTGAGATGTGTCTGACTGTGAGAAGAGCACAGAGTCCTGGCCTTCAGATCCCAGCATCAGGCTTGTCTTACTTCATGAGTTCAGCAGCACCGGAGTAGCACAGTGCCAACAGGAAAATCTAGTGAAAGCTATGGGAACTCCGACTGAAGTTTCGGCTTTCGTTCAAATTTTGCTGATTTCTCAAAGAATGCTTTCCTTATTTATCCAAACAAAACAAAGATACTAAGAGAGCTCTTTAAATCTGTGGTTCTCAGAAAGCTGCCTAAGAATTGTGATGGGAAGTGAGTGCTTTAATTTTTTCTGTAAATTCCAAATCCTCGGGGCACCTGAATTTGCATCGTGTGTTCCCCCTTCTCCCTTTGCCCTGCAAAATGATGTTGCTGTAAATCTACAGGCCACTATTTGAGAAAACCTGCTCGAAATGGCAAGCCATTGGGGGAATATTTAAGATGTAATTTGACATAAATTTACATGGTTTCTTATTGGCAAAACTCTTTGGCCGGTTCCTAAACTTCTGCAAGCTTCTTTGTTCCATTTTTCAACAACCTCTCATATTGTTTCCCGATTCCTCCCTCTCGACCCGATTTCCCTGGTCTCTCGATATTGTTCTACACTTTGTAGGTGCTTCATGAATGTTTTTTGAATTAGTCAAAAAACTCTTTATCACCCAGATCCAGACCATGCCTGTTCCTCCTCACCACTGACTTCTGTGAACCCAACCATTGGTCTGATTATGTAAGCTGGCTGCTGTCTAGCTATTAGAAAAGTCATGTTGTCTTTTTTCTATGTTTTTCTATGCAAAAACATGTCATGACTTTTCTGACAACCCTCATTCCTTCAGCTCCATTCTACCTCTAGGCCTTCCCTTCTCTGTTCCCCTGACACGTAGGACTGACAGCGAGTTTCATGCTTCCTGGATCTATAGCCAGTGGGAGGTCAGACCCCACACCAATCTTTTTGCTATTCTTGAGACAGGACTGAACTCCCAGAGCTCTAGTGTATTGTAACACATCTCAAAGGAGGAGGAAGGTGGACAAGACTGAAAACTGGTTTCTTTCGGTAAATAATGACTGGCCGCCTGGAAATAGGCAAAGGCAAAACAAAATCAAATGCCATCCCAGAAGTGTCAACAGTCACAGTGCAGCAGGCATGTTTACAATGCAGACCTAAATCACTTTAGAATTATTGAAGAGTATTTCAGAATATGGAGCCGCTGGCTGTTTAATAGGGATCAATAAATAATTCCAGCTCACAGTGAAATTAAAACTCTGCATTGCCACCTGGAGATTGGTGTCCACATGCTGATTAGAAGCCAGCTACCTGATGTAATTACATTTTTCCCTTGCTTATTTTAAAAAAATTTCACAATATTCCAGAGCACAAGAAATTTTTTTAAGACACATAGGGGAATGAAGAGCAAGTTTAAGAGTTTCTCTTAGACACAGAAAAGGAATCTATTTTATTTCATTCTTATTAAATATGATTCTCTATTTAGTGACCCCTGTGACCCTGAGAGCCTGTTTAGGTGCTACTTAACATTAATTATTACTTAAACTCAATGTTATTTGGGAACAAAGAAAAGGCCATGATAGAGTGGCATCCATTAACCAATAAATAGCAGCCAAAGAATTGTATGTCAATTCAACTGTGGTAGAGCATAAGACAGTTTTAATTCAATCAGGAACACTTCATTTAGAGGAATCTGATGGGAAATTCTTTTTGAAACTAAAAATACTCTTAAACATAGAACCAACTCTTAAATATATAATTACTCTTTGATCATTGTGGCAAACAGAGATTTCATCTGAGGCACAAAAGTACATGTTCTATACCTATCTAAAGGCACATGGAAGTTTGTTCACTTCTTGTATGTAGTAGCTTCATTACACATGGCCAGTCTATTTGCTCTTCTAGCATGGGCCTTCCTGAGCATGGAATTTTTCAGCACCTCTCTCCTGCTAGGAGTAAAGCAGGCATTGTATTTGTTAAACATATACATTTCTGGAGGGAACCCTTGAGTTTATTTACTACAACAGCCAAGGACATACGTCTCACTCTCTGTGGTACCCACAGGTAGCACCAACATGGGTCATCTTTGAAAGGAGTTTAACTGTGGTCAAGGATGACAGGTCCACTGATGGTATCATCTAAGACATTGCCTCAGAGTTCTGAGGAGAGCTATCATCTCCCTATATAAAACATCCCTCAGTGCTTTTGTCAAAAAGGAATCCTAGAACAGGCAGTGTGAGGTGGGGAGGGCAGGAGGAGAGGTAGTACTACCACACCACTGGTGGTCTGGTCTGGGGGAACTGACCAACAGTGTCAGTAAATATCCCCTGAGTTGGATTGGAAGCTTCTTTGGTATATGATTGTGTTGATGCTCTAGCACTAGCACTAGGGTGAAAATTACAGAAATGAGTAAATTTTCTTTAAAAGAGAGATTTTTGCTATCAGGTGTGCACACTTGCCAGAGAGACCGTGAGAAATCACCTCCCAGAGGGATGGCCACACCACAATCTCTTCTCTTCCATTCTTCTCTTGGGATCTTGGGCACACGTAAACATATGCCTGGTGTGGGGTTTAAGCCGCCGGGTCCAGGACTTCAAACCGTGGTTGACTATATGGGAGTCCAGTGATGTGACCATTATGCCATCTGCTGGTCCCAAGTTAATGATTCTGAAAGGAACTATTTTGTTCTATCTGCACTTACTACACCTTTGAAAATAAAGGCATTTTAAGATATTTACTTTTAAAATTTTGTCTTTCATAAGAGAGAGACAGAGAGAAGAACAGAGAGTCTGATACCCCTCAGCAGGGTTATCATGCCACAATCTACCCCCAGCCTCAGCCAGCCCAGATGTCAGAGACATGCTTGTATACAGGGAAACTTCCAGACACAAACCTGGGGCCATCCCATGTGGGTCCAGCATCACAGAGCACTTTGTTCCTGTTGCGCCACTTTGCTGCTGGCTTCAAAAACTTTCTGAGAATACAAAACCAAAAGAACTAGAATGGAGTGGGTCTTTAATTTTTTATTTCAAATGACCTCAATAATGTAATTCATGCCTTCAGTATACATTTGATTACCTACTAGGAGCCTATAAATCTTTCATAATCTCTGCCTTTATGAAGCTCACATCCTAGTCAAGAATAGACTCAAATGTTTCAGTGCCATGCGGGGTCATACAGCGGTAACAGCTACACAGTAATGCAAGCACATGCTAGAGACGCTTAGGCTTGCCTGGCACAATCGCAGAAATTGTACAAAGACAGAAAGAGCTGATACAGACCTTGGTATAGTGGGCGTGTGGTGCCCTGTCTCTACTGCTCAGATACATTCTACTATTTCTATCACCTATTCCTAGTATCTGTGTTTCTGCTTCTGACGTGTCACCCTTTTGGTTCTTTTTTTTTTTTTGGAGAGGTTTTCACTGTAGGGCGCGTGCGCTCGCCAGACAGACAAAGAGAGACAGAGAGATAGAAAGTGAGAAATCACCCCCCAGGGGGGATGGCCACGCCGCAATCCCTTCTCCTCCATTCTCTTCTCGGGATCTTGGGCACGCACGCACACGCGCCAAGCGTGAGTTTAAGCCACTGGGTCCGGGACTCAAACTGCGGTCGACTACATGGGAGTCCAGTGACATAGCCATTACGCTAACTGCTGGTCCCATCCTTTTGGTTCTTTTTCAGAGCACAATCCTTAGGCTACTAGAACTGACATCCAGAGAACTGCAAGTGCCTGGAATTTTAAGTGTTTCTCTTCCATACCTCCGGAGTAGCCCTTGGCTGATGACTGAGAGAAGATGAGTATGAAAGTCCAGATCCTTGTCTCAGGGTGGGGCAGCTCCAAGCCATCACTTATACTCCAGAATCCCTTGAAGGATCAGACTGAAGCCATCCTCCATGAATCTTTACCTGGAAAGTCACCTTTCCTTGGCTCTTTTCTTTCCCT